CAATATCAATATTAAATGCAAAAATACATAGAATTTGTCAATTAGCAATGTTATGAAGAAAATAAAAGCATGTTTGTGAAGTTTGTAATATGTAAATCCAACCATAGTTGGTACTTATTACCCAATCCATTGGCAAGCACTTACAAAGAAGAGAACAAAGACCCTTTTTTTCGTATTTCGATATGGAAACTGAGAAGAGGAAGTAAATGGTAAATGTATAAAATGCCTTACATGGGGTCAGACCAAAGTACAAGATGTAAGTGGAAGTTGATCTATCCCGCTTAATAAAGCATTGGATTGGTTCATCTCAGGCCCCGGCTAGCCAAGATCACAAATGAAACAAAATATGGTTACAGAAGATATTATTTATCAAAACCTAAGACAAAAGAAGTAAAAGCTGAACTCTCATGTACAGTAGAGTTCGAAGAGTATTGAAGCCCTGGCAAAATAAGGAAATATACAGGAACTTGCTGCTATACAAGCTTGACTTACTTATTTGATATTCTTTTAACGAATGAACTACCTCTTATATCGCAAGTGCAAAAGTGTCCACTCTTAATATAGTATGAGCATTGGGAAAAAGGAAAAAAGGAAAGAGAAGTGTGTTCCAACTGAAGTGGTTTCCTCAACATCTAGGGAAAGATAAATCTCAGCACAAATTCACAAATCGATAAGATACATATTTCATATTAACAACCGAGAAAGTAAAGCACAAATCCTGGAACACAATTCATTTCATCCAAATGCTATAGCACCAAAACTTATAAATCTCGACAATCGCTTCACTTTACTGCAGTGATTACTTCATCAGTAAAAAAAATGATATCTACATCCATAAATTCCACTAACTTGAAAATAGAATTGTACACACTGAAAAAGTAAGAAAAAATTAAAGTTCAGGCAAAATACATTTGAAAAAGAAAGGAAAAACTGACTAAGGAAAATGCATAATTTGTACAAGAACCCATGAAAAATTAAGTGAAAGAACCATGTTTTTTGAAAAACCTTACTGAACAAAGAAGAAAAGTGCTACTACATCCATCGATTTGACCAACCTTAAAATATAATTGTATACATACACATACAAACAAGAAAACAAAAATATGACTGAAATTACACCACAACTGAAAGTAAAATCATCAAGAACAGATAGAAAAAGAATTATTCTCGAAAAAAACAACAACCCTAAAGCAAAAAAAATATTAAATCACAATACCTCATGTCGCTAGCGTCTTATTCCGTCAGATTTTTGTGGTTCTTTGGAAAACTTCTAGAAAAGTTAGAAAACAAACCGTTGATTCCCATAGCTGAAAATGTAATTCTACACATAGAAACATAGAAAGAAAAATTAAGTTGAAAAAGTTAGACTGAACTGAATCAAATATTAAATCCAAATACTGACATACCTCAGGTCACGAGTTTCGAATTTCGGTGCGAGTGTTCTGGTTTTTGGGAGATTCCACCAACAAAAAAAAATAGAATTGTACACACAGAAAGAAGGAAAACAATATTAAGTTGAAAATATCCAAGAATTGAAGGAAAAATAGTGAGAAATTGACTGGTAATACAATTATTGCAGAAGAAAAGACCCAAAACTTAAGCAAATCTGAAATCGACATACCTTGCGGTCTGAAAAGAAAATCTGAGGTCGCGATACTGCTGCAAATCGCAGCAAGATGAAGAAACGACGCTATAGTCATCGATTCAATTTGCCAATTTCAAGAGGAGAGATGGGAGGTTTCTATTCAAGAAGAGAAAAACCTTGTACAATCGACAACAACAAATACAAGATAGACAAGCAGCAATAATTTTGGTGGAAGAGACTCGCTAGGGTTTGCTTTCTTTCTTCAAGGAAATGAGGGGAATACGGTAAAATCAAAACTAATACTATACAGTCTATACTAACCTTATCACTTCGTTTAGGGACGGACGTCGATGCCAAAGGCGGGAGGTGAATAGCACATATACGAGAGGCTGAAGAAGGTAGTAGTGCTCGCCAAATCTCTCTTTGACTGAATCGGTCACAGGCTCGCAATAGGAGCTAAATCGGTTAGAGGATGGGAGGAGGGATGAGGGGCTGAATCGGTTAGTATTAGAGGTCCAATCGCCGGCAAGGTGAAAGATGGATTTTGGATTTGGTGTGCACACGGGGAATTAGTTTCTCCCCGTGCGCACAAGCACGGGGAGTTTTAAGCGTAAATTTTTCTGTCATTTTTTTTAAAATCTTTTCTCATGCGCACACTAAAATTGACTTTTCTTTTCCTTTTTTTTATCTCTATAATGCCCTTTTATTTTGATACACTAGGGAT